ACAACCCACCAACAATAATCAAGTAGAACCCACAATCAATTAATCACAGGTTATCTGACAATTCTTTGAATAAAGCCACATCTTTAGTAAAATCAAAAAAGATTATGAAACCGCTCTAAAGGATAGTGGATTTTCAGTAACCCTCACATACACATCACAAAAAAGTCAACAGAAAAAAAACACTACAATTTTAACCTACCATACATAAAAACAAATGTAGGAAAAATATTGATTAAGCTCCTCCACAAACACCATCCACCATCAAGCACTCCCCACAAAATAGTCAACAGAAACACATTAAAAAATCACTTATAGTTGAACCAAGAACATACCACAGACAATGGAAATTAAGAAAAATGGCATTAGCCTACAAAAATAACCCAGAAATCTGTAAACTTTGGGGAAGAAATAAGCTATAACCACCTTCCCAGACCAGCACAAATTATTAAATAAAAGATCAGAACTTACTTCAAAATACAGCCGTGAAAACAAATTTTTACTTAACTAAAATTCTAAAACTAAAAACTATTTTTACAATTCAAATTCTTTTTTTTAAAAATATGCTAGTTTTTCTAATATATTTTTTAATTAGTTCTCAGTTATTTGACAAACTCTTTATAATCTCTGGATAAATGCCTTCTTTTCTTGATTTAAAAAGATATACATGTACATAAATAAAATATTAATTCAATGTTTTCTCTGTAAATATAGTTTATCACCTGTTGTTTTTCCTAAACCGGTTTCACTTATTATTCATTGATCTTGAATTTTCATAATTTGTATTTGGATCTTGTTGATCCTTCAGATCAATTTTTCAACTCAGAAATTTAATCCAAGAGGAACATCGTTAAATATTTGTTATTTAGACAGCTTTACTTTTAAAAAAATATGGCTTTGTAGGGGTTAAACAGGATTTTTTATTTATTTATTTATTTTTTTTTGCAAATCTTACTCTTTATTCCTTTTCATGATCAATAACCATCAGCAATTATATGGTGGTGAGAGCTAAAAATTTCTGAGCTTTACGAAGAATACTTTCTCGTAAAATTCTGATGTTTGGTCAGATTTTGAGAAGTAGGTCAGGCTGAGAACTTGTCAGCCCTACTTCATAATACATCCATGTATACATGAGGGCTTCTGAAAGGTTCTTAACAAGAGTCAAGAAATGCATATGCTATTCCACATATTCACATTCCCACCACATAGAAACTGTTCAACAAACATCATTCCTAAGTTTTTTTTACCCTTACAAAAACATGATGTTTGGTTACTGAAATACTGCTCTTTTACCTTTATCATCTTCAAATCATGCAAAGATTTTCTCTTTCAAACTTTTTTAAGGTTTGAAAGCAGGAAATTGTCAGATGGAAAAATATCTAGTGAGTAATGTGGATAGTCCAAGCACTCAGATCCCAAATTCTTCAAAATATCTATTGTGTTGCCCAGTGGCGTAGCTAGAGTAAACGTCACCTGGGGTGGCCCGCTCAAATGTCATTCGATACTATGGTCTTAGAATGAATGTTTTCTTGTTTTCATTGTGGCCAACTGGTCAATGACATCGTCAAAATCTGTTTGTCTTGTAAGCTCGTTTTCAATGGACAGCACAGCCAGATCCGACAGTCTCGACTGGCTCATGGTTGACGTAATTTTCTGTTGCTAATTTTCTTGTGTCCAATTTTCCGTTGCATCATTTTCTGGTTACCATTTAATTATCAATGATGTTTGAAAGTATTTTTCTTGACAAAAATGTTCTATATAATTTTTAAGCATTTTTCGGAACATTGTAAATCAACTGCATTCTTTTAAAGGTTACCTAGAGAATTTATGCAAAGTTTATTTTTTTGTTTTTCTTTATACAAGTAAAATAAATTTACATTGTATTTTGATGCTATTATGATTTTAGTTTTAGTGATAATTTAAAAACAATAAATATTTATCATTAGTACCAATAATGGAAAATTAAGTTAAAAATTTAAAAGAATCGTTTTTGGAATCGGAAAATAGGCACAAATTTTTCCAATTCCAATACCCCAAAAAGTTCCGATTTTTCCGATTCTGATTAATCGTCCCAACACTAGTAGATATATTCAAAAGTATATCACTCACTCAATGGAAAATTGTATCTCAGTGAATTGATACACAGGCAAGACTGAAATTGTTGCACTTTTGGCTTCGTATTTCACTTTGTTGTTATTAATGATGCAGAGTTAAAACATCATATCATCCGATAAAATGTTACAACAATGTCTCTTGTTAGTAACCAAGATTGTAGCAACTGAAACACATGAAAGCTGAAAACATTGCTATTTTTCCTACTCACAAATTTCCTGACAATTTATTAGAAAATTTTTGATGGGGGGGGGTCATATGCCCGCCTGCGAAACCCTGTGTCTCCACAACTGTTTTCAGACTATTTTTGGCACCTTAGCCTGGTTGAAAAATTTTGTTGGGGGTGACATTGTGTCACCCCTCCTGTGCTGGCACCCAGGGTGGTCCGCCCCCCCTCCCCTTTAGCTATGCCACTGGTGTTGCCAGCCCTGTGATAAGATTTATCATCCTACAAAAATAGCTTCCCTTGACATTTTTCTTTCAATGGCTCCTTTAATTGAAATAAAAAGTTTGAATAGTACTCTGAATTAACTGTTTGGCCATTCTGAAGGTAACAGTTATTGAAATATCTTTTGTGCCCCTGAAAATAATGGTCATATCATTTCCTGCTAAACATTTGAGTTTTGAATTTCTTTGGCCATGAAGAACCTGAGTGCCACCATTGTATGATTTTTTATTTGGTCTCTAGAAAATAGAAGTATAACCATCAACAGTGGCAAATTGTTTTAAAAGAATTAACACTAGATTGCTGAAAATGCTACAAAATTAAATTGGAGACTTCCACATTTCTGGTTGGCATTCAAACATTTTGGTACCCAGTTGGCTACCAGCTTCTTGGCCAGCTGTTCATGAATTACAAACCAAAAGCACTCTGTGGGTATTCCTAGTGTCTCAGCAACTCATTTGGTTGAGATTTTTTGATCAGTTAAAATTAGGTCATGAACATGATTAACAATTCCAAGTGTTCACACCAGTAAAGGCCTTCAAAACTGTCCCCAATCTTGAGTTTCAAAATCTCAACATTGAAAAACAGAACACCACCTCTTCACAGTTGAGTATGACAGGCACCTATTTCCCAATGTTCTTATCATACACTCATATATTTCCTTTATATAGTTTTGAAGTCTTCAGAGATAAACTCATGATGATCTGGAATTTAAAACTTGAAAATTCCACACTTTCTTGACATTTGACATAGTTTAGTCAATGATCTGAGACGAATAAAAAATAAGTGCAGGGATCCTGAAAACAGACACTTTACAATGTAACTCTTTCCAGTTACAATGACAAAATAATTCTCAAATTTTAGCACTCCCTTTATATATGCATATGTAGGCATTAAATACTGGATAAGTATGATGGCTTCTGTACAGAATAACATGGTTCAAGTAATATAGTTGAAATCTGATCTGCCTGAATCATAGGATTTAGTGTTAATAATATCGATATCAAAACTGTTATCCAAAACATGGATAATCAAGATAAAATTTGCTTAAAACCAGAATGAAGAAAAAACAAAACAAATGAAGGATGTGAGACAGCTTTTTCATGATCATAATAACACATTGAACACTTTAAAATAGAAATGTTATTAATTTCTATTTTAAAGTGTGGGATGCTATGAGAATAAGAAATTCAACTAAGTTTTTCCTCTTGTATTGTTAAATTTGTTTCACATTCTGTAATTTCTGGCAAGCTCAATATTTTCTCACTCTAACATTCTTTTGCTATGCAATGATTTTATGCTTGCTTTCGTTTTAAATGGATACTGATTTTTAAAATTTTACTAATTTGAGAATTTTATTCGCTCTTAAATTTTGTTATTTTTGTTTGTTTAATCTATCAACCTTTTTGACCCTTTTAATCTGTGCATGTCTTTATTTCAGCTAGTTTTAGTGTTTGAAACCCGACTAATTTCATAAGTCAATATGATGAGTTCATTCCCTAACAGTAACACTGTGAACACTAGTGTAGATTTCATAATTACTTATTTCTAAAGGTTTAAAAGTAGGCTTTCTTTCTTTTGTAAAAATCAAAGAAGAATCATTTTTTTTAAATTATTCAAATTGTTAAAATTATATGTCTGCTTATCTTTGCGCAAAAGAGAAACAATTAGTGCTGAAAGCATGGAAACTACATTACAAATTTTTCATTAAATTATAGCACTATATATTTTTCCTGGTTTGTTTATGAATTTTCCAACTCGGACTTTTTAAAATTTTCTAATAGTAGCAGTATGGTTGTTGACTGTCAAACTGAGTAAAAATAATTTTTTTTCTCTTTTCGTGGAGCCTGGCTTCGCAAAATAATTAGTGACTTAAAGGAAAGCGTCCACCAACAATCAAGCGGACCCCAGACATGGTTGGTTAAACTAAGGTCTGAGGGTTTATTCAAACGGATCTTTTTAGCTGAACTGCTTGTGTGTAGAAAGGCCTTTCTTGTTAAGTAATCCTCTGTACTGTACGTATATGTGTTATTGTGTTTTGATGCAAATTACTGTGTGTACGCGTGGTGTTTCATTACTGATGATGTGAAGTGCAATCCTCATTCTTTCACAAGTATGTCGATCGTTGACTGCCTCAGAAATTTGCTTCTTAGGAAGATAGTCGTTTAGAAGTTTTCTCGATTGTTTCACTAGCACGAGAGAAGCAGAGAAGAAAAAAAGCAGTTTGAAAATCTGGAAAATCAGAGAAAAATATGAAAGGAAAATAATTACCAGCAAAGTGAATCCTCCCACACCCACAAACTTCAGTCTTCCCGCTCTCAGTTTTTTTCTTTTAATTCTTGTTCTCTTCAGCTTCCTTTTTTTCTAATCATTTTTAGTCAACCAATTTTCTTAAAAAATACTCTCCTCAATATTTCGTTCTTGGATGACTTCGACGACTGCACAGGCAATCTAGGTATATATTTTTTTCTTTGTTTTTTTAGTTTCTCCCAAAGATATTGTTTGTATGTTTTTTTACTATGATGTATTGTAACAACAAAAGTAAAACACTCGGTAATTTAAATTTCATATTTTAAAATTTCCGATACTGTTGTCTTTGTCTCTGATAAATGTTATTTTCCTAACAATAACAGTTTTTCATTTGACATTTTTCTTAGATGGGTGTGTAAAAGAAAAACTGAAGGTAATTCTGGCCTTCTACTTAAAGGCCATTCCTTTCTAAGCCCAACATCCCATTTTTTTTGTTTCGTTTGAGAATGCCTTTTTGAGAAAAAATGTAACCATATTTTTAAGTTTTTTAAGAAAAAACATTATTTGTATTTATTGAAAATTCATAATATGGGAAAATAAGGCCACTACTGAACAGACTAATTCAATCATAGTTTTTTTTCCACATAGTGTTTTTGTTCTGTATGTCTAAAAAAGGGACCTTCTTTCTTGTATTTAAAAAAAAATAGCAAAGTTGGTATTTCTGAAGGTATGTCTGAAATATTTAAAATGCAAAGAAAAAACAAAACATTGTTACTGTTCTACCCCGAGGGTAGTGGGCTACATAAAAATTTGTGTTGTTGTTCCTCGTACTAATTTTAATGAATGACTTGGCGCTTAAAATAAGCCTTCTTACAATGGCCTATATTTGTTTTATGACCCAATATTTAGCAAATGTATTTATTTTTGCAAGTACCTAAGGTATCTGTGTATTAAGAAAACAATTTTACTTTCATAATTTCTTCTTTTTTTAATGTACGTGTGTGTCTGTGTTTTACATATTTTACAATTTAAGTGGATTTTCTTTTTTCGTTGAAAATGATTACAATTGTATTTACAGCTGCTTCATATTAGCGTTAGAAAATATGGAATCATTTTTAAAGCTTTCTTTCCTCGCATGTATCTTTTCAACTTCTTTTCACATTCCACTTGCTTTTTACGGAAAGATGATCCCTCAACTAAATTTACAATAGAATCGGATTTAATCGAATTGCTAATTTCATTTAGTGTGATCTGTATCTCAGTTGGTAAATATACGTTGCTTCCATAAAAATCCTTTGATGTGAATTTTAAAACCCATGTTATTGTTTGTATTTTTACTGTTAGTGTTACTGTTGTTACACAATGGCACGTGCACAAATTCACTATTGCGTGAAATCAATTTCAAAAAACTGAATTTAAAAATATCTTCAGAATTGATGAATTCGAATTATGTTGATGCAGCATTTAATTTTTAACATTTCTTTTTTTAGACAAACATTTACAATACATCTTTTTCAACACCATAAGTGAGGTTGGAAAAATTTGGAGTCATAAACAAAAACTTTCAGGCTCAGGGGAACTATCTGATTCAGAACATATTGGGAGTATTTGATTTTATTTGGTTTAACAAAACTTAAAATTCTATCATTTTTTTTTATTTTTTAAGATGTAAGTAAGTAAAATGATTTTTTTACAAAATATTTGACACAAATAATGAACAGAATAATGTCAGAATACAAAAAAACAAAAACCGTCTTTGTTAAAAAACAATCATACGATTACTTACTACTTAGAACATTTATTTTCTACACTTCTTTTTTTCTCTATTGTTTAGTAGTTTGTACATTGAAGAAGCTGAATGAGACACAGGCATTTAAGTCAATCAAAACTCAAAATAGCATATTAAATAAGACAATAAATAACAGTTTGCTTGTTAATCTCTCATTTAAACACTAAAACAGTAAATTTAAAATCTTCACTGGTTGCTCTCTCTACTGAAGTTCTAGTCCGACAAATTAAATATCTGAAATGAAATTGAATAGTTGAGCCTAGGTTACTTTTTCACTCTTAATTGCCTTTATTCATTATTAAACATTCATTACAGCTGTTTGGAGATTAAGATTTCTTAATTAATTTGTTATAAATAACAAATCAACATTAAACAAAGTTTATTTATTGCTATTTTCTCAAGCAAACGCAAAAAGTAGTAGCCTAAATCTCATAAATATACTTTTTTAATTAGAAAATGATGGATTCAATTCAAATGATTGAACTTAGAATGGCTGTTAGGCAAGTGAGAGATAGTTTTTTTTTTGTGGGACAGTGTTTTCTTTAGTAGTCACTCACCTTCTTTGGCAACCATTGTGATAGATTTTGTCAAGATAAAATGATGATGAGACATAGTGAACAGTGGAGTTGTATTTCCCAAGGGCATTAGTTCAAATGGAACATAAGTAGTTCCCACCCAACACATATGTTAGCTATTTTGTTGGATGTATTAAGATAGATTTTTCAATTCTCATTTATTTTCATTGCTTATGCAAAAAAAACTTTCATGTTGACATATTATTGACAAGTTTATCACACCCAGGACTTGTATATGTGGGGAAAATAAACATTTTATTCTTAGTTTCATCAAGAATTGGATTGAATTAAAAAGTTCATAGGTCAGAAATTAACCCACTGTTGAATTATGAGCAAAATATTTTGGTTTTGAACTGCAGTATCATTTATACTTTATCATTTACTCATCTTGAAGGAAATTATTATGCAAAGTCTTTTTCTCTCTTATTTAATTACAAGAAATCTTTTAAATAGTAGTTTTGAGAAATAATGGGAGATATTTGGCCAAAAATATTTGAAAGAACTATTAGTGAATATAAATCTATTATATGAAAGATTACTCTTGCTAATGTTATCAGACAGCTATTTAGTGTTCATGATCTTACAGAATATGTTTATGAGTTGAATTATATTTAATATTCAATAATAAGTTCAGCCTTGATGTAAAAAAAATAATGACTGGTGTACATTTTTTTTTATAAGTGAATCATCTATAAACCGTGTTTTTTTAATAACTTTCTTGTCTGATTGGTAAAAATTGACAAAAAGTAATTTGCTGAGAGAATCTGAAATTTTCCTTTTTATTCTTTATAACTAATTTCTACTTTTTCAATCATCAGATTTTTTGAATGACTGACCCTCTGTACTAAGCAATAGAATTTTAGTCATCAATGCATGAGTAATGCTTCAAACGGGTTAATTTTTTTGCTTTCTATCAAATCATCTTTTTCATATAATGAAAAGATTCTGAAACTTTAAATTTTCTTCCTGACATTTAACCCAAGGAAACTTTGCTATTTAGATGCTTTTTTTCTAGATATCTTGCACAAATAGTAGTCAGATATAAAAATATATATTAAATTTCATTTGTATAAGTTTTTCTCTTAAGTTTTTGTACTTGATAAATAAGTGTTGGTGTTGTCTGGTCATGCAGAGATAAAATGACATTTATGAAATATAATACAATTGAATTATTCAGGGATCTGAGGTGCAATATTATGAAGCCATGTTATGTTCATATCAAAGAAGAAATCTTGGCTTCAAACTTAATGATTGACATTCAAAAACAGTTTTTTTTTCTTGTTTCACTTCAAGGTAAGACTGTCAAAATTATTCTTATTGAACAAAGTATTAAAAAAATGAATACATTCTACCTTATCAAAAAGCATTATCAATGGCTGCATCTAGAACTTGATCTTAGTTCACTGATACCATGATTATGTTATTGGCAGTGCCTACTTAATGTTTAAATATATATGAATGTGCTTTTTTGTATTGTTTTACCAAGTATAACAGCAGTTAACCAAGATGTGTTTGTGTATAAACATTTTGAAATTCAATTCTCTGTATGTTTATAGTAAATCAAATTGTGCTCTGTTTATTCTGACATTGCATTTACAACCATTTTTATTTTTCAATTGAAATTTCCTTTGTTTATATTTTTTAATTTTATTTTCCGATTTTATTCTCCCCAACCCCTTTATTTGACTTTGATTTTTTTCTTCCTTTTCTTCTAATTACACTGCATCTTTTTTCCTGCTAAAATATCTGAATGCTTTATGACAATGATTAACTCTCTTGAGTAATTCAGTTTTCAAAGCTTCAGGTTGATTTTCAGCCACTTAATTTCAATATTCTGCTTGTCTTATCTTAGTAATAGTGGCATGGCCTTCCTTCCAACACTCTCATTCACCTTCCATTTTAACCCCAACTTGTTTGTTATCTCTGGATGTCTGGATGGCTAGTGACTTAAATTTCAACTGTTAGGTTTTGCTGTTCAAATGTCTTAAAGTTATTCAGTAAGAATTAAGATGATTTACACTCATATTTTTATTCATGTTAATTTATTGCAGTTAGATTGCTTAACCAATTTGTTAGACTTTTTTTTCTTAATTATTGCTTTAAGTTATGAGTAGCATTCTGAAATTTTTTCTTATTTATTTTAGGGTGGCAATACTTGGAAGAGAAAGTGAAATAACTAGGAATTGAGAATATGAAATTGTAAAATGTATAGTCAATAGTTTTGTGAATCTATATAATCTCACAAGTATATAATGACAATAAGTGTCATGGGAATCTTTAGTGGTGAATAGAATACATAAAATGTTTCTTTTGAATTTTCTCTTTTCACTTATCTCTATCTTAAGAACTGAACTTTCTAGAAGATTTTGCTGAGATGGGACCATTAATTGAGTCACTTTTTTCATGGGAACAGAATCAAACAAAAATAATAATGATAAAAATATACTTCTCATTTTTCTTGTCTAACAATTTTTGATCTTTCAGACAAAATGATTCAAGAGATATTTTAACTGTTTTAAGCACGAAAATTTAAATCGGTATTATTTTTTAGTACATTAAAAGTAAGTTGAATGCTTCAAATTAATATATTTTTCACATTACTATTATGAAAGTCGTACTAAAATATGAAATTAAAATATGAAATAGTTTGCACCTTAAAAGCTCCCCCCCCCCAAAAAAAAACTCGCAAGTAAAAAGTGGGATATTATTAAATTCTGCTTTGGAAAAGTAATCAAGCATTGTTTAGTTGTTGATAAACTACAAAATTACATTTATTCATACAAAGTATTTTTATAGAAGTTTTTTTTTTTTTCATGATATCAAGGCAGTATAAGGATTGCC